AAAAGTATATTCGTGTGCCTGATTATTTTCGTCATTCGTTTAACATTTATGAACTAAAAAAACTGTCAAATATGAAATGTTTACTTTAGCAACTTACATCTCGCACTTGACTGTACACTGACTGAAGCGTCGAGTGAGTCTAAAATTCGCGCTAAGCTTCTGTGAGCATAAAGCCCGCCTCCTTTGATTTCATTGGCCATCTCAAATATTCTGACATTGACGAGCAGTGACAGACCAATGAGGCTCAGATGAACACACACGCGCGCACACACACACCCTGTCCTGTGTCCTCTGTTTCTGACGTGCGCTCTGCTCGGCGCCGCTGCGGATTGAAGATGAACAACGTGCTGAATCTGATTATAACAAGTAATTTAAAAAAATTATCAGGGAGGAAAAATCTGAGGGGGCACGTGCCCCCTCACTTTGAATGGGCATGACGCCACTGCTGTCATTATTGACTCACCCTCCTGTCATTCCTAACCTGTAGCGGTTTTTTATTTCTCTGTGGAACACAAAAGGAAATTTTGAAGAATGCATGCCTCTATTTTTCATTGCATGACAGTTCTTGGTAACCAACAATGACAAAAAAAAAAAAAAATCATAAAATTGTTCAATTTGTGTTCAGCGAGTCTTCTGATGTTTTAAGATTTGTGAGGAATACACTGAAATTTAACTAATTTACATTTAAAATCTCACTGATGTCATTTGAATTTGTGCAAAAATCAGTTACAAGACACAAAACACACACAAACAGTTTAACCTGGTTGGACATGTTTTAATGCATGTTTTAAATATACACAAATGTGAATGATACTTGGGAGCGAAGACAATCATTGAATAACTCAAACTGTTATCTGCACCTCACACAAAACTATCGAATGACTCTCAAAGACTTCAACTATAGTGCATAATATATATATGGACTACTTTCATGGTGCTTTTTTGTTTTTATTTCCCGAGTTTCCCAGCCCTTAGTCATTGGCTCGGTATTAAATCTATCGTATGAAAAAGAGTTTGAACATTGAGTCAAATTTCTCCTTTTGCATTCCGCAGAAAGAAAGAAAGTTAAACGAGTTTAAAACGAACTGAGGGTGAGTAGTTTTCTTGTTTTTATTTGGGTGAACTATCTCTTTAAGTTCTGTGAAACAGTAGAATGCGCTGGCATATGTCTCTTGCCTTTTCTAAGAATTCAGCTGGGTTTAAAAGCATTTGGAATAGTATTTCATAATTCTATCTGCGTCCGTGATTCAAACTGAGCCCTTCCACTACTATCTTCAAATCACATTAGCAGGCTGTACATTCTCTAACATGCTCTCGAGAATTGTTTCCTTTGAACTGGCAGGTCTGAATTTGGGGCAGTATAATATGCATTCTTTCTATACTGTCAGCCAGACATCACTGATGTAATGGTGGACTTTCTAATCCACCCACATAATCCGGTGGCAAACAAAACAATAAGCAGCACTTGGCATCTACTTTAAAAAATGTGCAGGGCTTTAATCTTTAAAGTCTTAAAGCAGCACAAATGCATGTGCACTCAGCCGTCAGTCATACCACCAACTGCTTTTAAGCAGATTCCTGCGCTTTGCTCTCATCTTTGACCTTACTGTCCTGAACAAATCACAAATGTTGAAATCATGCATTGCTTTCACACTGACATCCACTGATCTGACGCAGAAACCCAAATTCAGATTCGGCTGAAAGAAACAGACCTCACAGACATCCACTGAGGCGGAGGTCCTTAAATAGTACTTGAAAAGACATGCGCTGAATGTGAATTCTGATGTATTGAACTTAAGTCATACAGTCGGAAACAAAAGGTCCAACAACATTCATTAAACAACACATGATACTGCATGTGCAAACACAAAAAAATCTAAAATAGATTTTGTGAATTTGATGGATGGATGGATGGATGGAGTTTGAATGAGTTTGAATTCATATATTACAACTAATATCATTAACAAATGAAATCATTCAGCAAATGTCAACTCAAGCCATCAGACTCCTGCGAAGACTTCAGATGACGCGAAATCTGAACTGTGATTTTGTACATTTCTGAAATACATAACTTAGACAGTTACCTCTGATAACAGATCACTCTAAATTGTAACGTGGACTTTTTCTGTAAAGCTGCTTTGAAATGATGTGTATTGTGAAAAGCGCTATACAAATAAATGTGAATTGAATCAGAGACTTTGCAAAAAAAAAGAAAGAAAACAGAGCACTGGAAGACATAGAGCCGTCAAAGGAACTCGCCGATCGATCACAGGCTCATTTGGCTTTGTCAACAGCTCTTCCGTGACTTAGAGTGCAGCGCGGCTACCATAGCAGTGCGTTTTCTATCAGCCCTCGTGTGAACGACATGGCAGTCATCAACAGAGGCATCAGAAGAGTGGTGTCAAATCTCATCAGACAAAAAATGCTTGGGTTTATCAATAAGAGATAGAAGAGGTCAATGAGGGATTTCGCTCGAGTTGAAAGCTGATATTGCTAAAGGCAGGTGAGTATCGAGCCGCCCGTCTGCCTGAGCCAGGGGTAAATAGTGATTAATGGCCGATGGAGGAAAGGGTTAGTGCCTGGGATCAGATTCTTCCCTTCAGCCCTCCTCTGTAGAATCTCAAGACCATTTGAACAAGAGGAATGAATTCAGTGACGGAAGTGAAATGGAAATACCTTTTTGTGACCAAAACTGCTCCAGTTAAAGGTGAACTAAGTAACTTTTTTACCTTAACCGAACAGCTTTGGAGTCATTGTAATGTTTATATTACTGATTTCGTGTTGAATGGTGGTCGTCTCGCACCCCCCTGGTGCCTGTGAGCCGCAAAACCACCCTTGCAACTTTGGGCCGGCGAACCGCCGGCCTCAGTGTTAGGAAGTATCGTGTGATATCAGGTCTCGCGAGGTAACGAATTGCTTTACGGCAAAAAACAGATCTGATAAAATTCTGATAAAATGAGCATCAAACAGAAATAACCCGGCGGCGTATACATGTGGTGTTCGAGGCGCACATACAATACAGCATGCCGACAGTTAAACAGGGCGCGCGCGCAGCTCTTAAAGGGGCCATACCTTATTTCCACTCGTTACAGCGTCCATCCTACTGAACAGGTACCGGTGTACAAGGGGAGGGGATCCGGCCGTGAGTGCAGAGCCATCTCTGCATGAGTGCTATTCACGACAGTACAAGTACTCCACAGCGACTCTAGGGGTCGCTGTTTGACAAAAACGGAATTCCTACTTAGTGCTGCTTTAACCAAAGATGAGATTAGAGAACGCCGGCACTGGCCATGAAAACACCAATCAGACCAAAGAGATGATGCATAACCTTTTTTTTTTTAATTATTATTGTTAGAGGATTATTTTGAAAGTCAATTTCTCTAAAAGCAATTGAACATTTTCACCTTTATAGCAGAGGGAAACATTTGGTGATAACATGCCCCAATACCACAATCATGTGAATTTATAGTCAATTCCTGGTTACTATTTGCAGTAATTTACCAGTAATTTTTACAGTAGTACAATTTATTACAAGTTCAAGGCAACTGATTTCACAGTAAACATGAGCAGGAAATGACTGCTGCCGCACAGTGATTAGCCGTGTCTGCATTTCAGTAATCTCTTGAAATATAATTGGATTATCTAAAAAGATGTCCTTATTCTTGACTTTTCTATGCTGAGTCTTAATATTAAAAGTATATATTAAAAGTTCCCCAGATATAACAATCAATCAGATCAACGCAATAGCATTGCCAACTCTCTCCCCCATTATAATCGAACAGTTAAGCACAAAATTGCTACAGTACATAATGTGCAGACTGCAAGTTATAATCAGGCTTAAAGGTCAATCATAATGCTTAGACTCTTTTCTCCATGTAACAGTGGAACCAATTGTAACACTATTACGGGCTGAACGAAAATGAAAGCCAGCCAGCAGGTACACTCATCAACATAATGGCTCAAACATAATGGACTTCACTGCTGTTATCCCACAGATACTCCGTTTGTTGTACAAGCACCTACAGAAGCCTGCATTGTGAATTATGATAGTATTTTATTGTAGGTAAATTTATTGTAGGATATTTAACCGTATATATGTATATGGCTTGACATAAACACCCACCAACCTGCCAAATGCGTGTGGATTTCAGCAGTGGCATGTCACTCCTACTAGCCACTTTGGTGGGTTGAATTTTAAATATAATATACGTTTTTTCAATTAGAGTCTTTTTTAAAAGGCATCTGAAATAATAAAGTGCACTGTAGTGTTGTCAAAAATATCGATTATTGAAATCATATCAACACTGTAATATATATCGATAACCTGTTTACAAGGTTACAGGGGTCGAAAACAATGAAAACAATAACTTTTTGTGGATTTTGACAGGGCAAGTAAAAATCTGAAGTGGTCTGACTGGGCCAATAAAAAATAAAAATAGCCCTGAAATTTTGAAGGGCACAGGTAAATGTGAGACTCGTTATATTTAAAGCCTAATAAATGTTAAAAATGTCAGCTTTCAATTATACTGCAATGTGAATGCCTATAATTAATGTCTAACATTGAGAGAGAAAAAATCTATTTCATAGAGACATCAGTTGGTATCGGTGATACTGTCCTGCTTCATTCATAAAAAAGATCCCATTAAACAAATATTTAGGCTACTGTCTTTATGTTGCTTCTATGTCATTTTGGAGATTAAATGTAAAAATATTACAATATAAAATATATTAACTTTAATGTTAGGTTTTATTAATCGCAATTAATTGCAAAAAAAGTGTGATTAAACACACACACACACACACACACACACACATACATTTACACTGGTTTCTTAAACAAGCTAACAACCTTGGATCATAAACTTGCTATCTTCTTTCAAAACAAAGCTGATTTTGCAGCAGGATACAAATGTGCATAACTCTGGTAATAACCAATAGTGAGTTTTTGTTGCATTGGTTACAGACAACTTCACTCGAATAGATAAAGAACAACCGTTTACCTTGTGCTCAATGATGCTGCTGTACCCCTGCAGTGCTGGAGGCGCGCGCGGCGCTCTGGTGGGCTCCACTTTCTCACCTGACGCGCCCTTAGACGCGCGGGATGCTGTAGTATTATTACTGTAGCTGACGCTGTACACGAACAACAGACTGGTGCACATGGTGATCGCGAGAAAAACGGCAACTCCATGACGCTGGAAAACATGAGGGCAAAAGTTCAAATCCACCACAGAGCGCAAGCCAAGGTCATAAATCATCACCAACTCATGCCCTCGGCGCAGTCAATTATAGGATACAAATCAGATTTCCCATGCTCAAATATTAATTAGATTGAGATTATAAGAACTTGCAGGTTCTAACTAAATGCTGATGCCTAAGACTAATGCACCAGATCATGCAAAAAATGTTTTTGCAACAGCAACATTAAACAAAGTAAAATTTTGTATATTTGATCGCATGTTGATCTTGTCATAGCGAGAGAGAGAAAAAAGCTCCTTTATTTCAAAGACTGTTATTATTTAATAGTGCCATACTAAAATCAAATAAAACTGTTTGCATCATTTTGCAATGCATAGAAATACATAATATTCTCATGGAAATTGTTTTAAAAATATTTTAAAAAATAAAATTCACAAAAGCCACGTTCTTTCCACAAAGCAACATTTCCTGTCTCCATAAATTTAATTTCCGACAAACTCCTCATGATTTAGACATGGGGATTAAGTTTTTTTAATTCTTTTTTTATTGTCTTTAATCTTCTTTCATTCAGCATGTGAAAGCAACAGAGAGCCGCAGTACTTCAGCAACAATGCTGCACTGGAGAGATGCGAGACATTCAAACTGTTTTCAATACAATTACCATCGGTGTCTTCATCCTGAAGCCAGCTGGAATATTCCTGGGAATGTGCGCATGAAGATCCACTTTTTCCCCCCGATTGTTGCTACTTCATCAGATTATGTCGTCATTAAATTGCCGCGCTCCGCTCGCGCTGGGAGATGTCAGTGTGTGTGCTGTGCGCGCGGACTGAACCCATTCTTGAGCTCGGCGAGCACAGACCGTTGTGACACCGCACGGTCCTAAAGATCATGGGGTTTGGGTGTGAACTCTAATTTAGCGTTTAGGACAAATTGCACTGTGGAAATTCATGGAAATAGGCTAAAATATCTCTAACAAATTGCACATTTGGAGTCATTGCGGCAACATGTGCCTACAACTACAGGTAATATGCCAGGTTGAACTCAATCCACAGTATTTGTCACACTCACTGCCCGATGCATATTGCAGAGAAAAGTGGTAATGAAATTGCCAGTCCCGATCTGATTGGCTGGCTGCAACACAATTTTAAGAGTCTGTTGCATCAGTCAGACAAACATAGTCATACAAGATATACCGCCATGTCGGGCTGCTGCTATATATCAGAGAGGAACCGCCAGGGCCCCTTTTAAATGAAAAGTCATCAGTTCTAATGTTATTTTATGAATTCATAATTTGACAATAAACATCTAAATCTTTTTGAGGAAATGAACCCTACAAATCTAACGATTCAATTTGTGTTGTGTTGTGTAGATCGGTAGGTTTTCTCCATATTCTGATTTTTCCACCTAACGCTTTCAGCTCTGTGATTGGTGGTATACAGCTGTGAAATTGCAGAGGGCCAAGCCATAGTAAGTCAAGGACCCTGCATCCCAATATCCACACTATCCATCCTAAACAGTATGTGAGATTAGAATAAGTGTGTCCCAAAGCGAAAAGAGTATGTCAAAAGTCCCCGGATGGTCTACTATTTCCGGTGGATTTTCGAAGTGTGGATCCCTGCTCACTATAACAGCTAATATTACCCACAACCAATTGCGCTTTGGAGGAGGAACTACAAACACGAGTAAAAAGTGTTAAAAAAACTACAAAACATGGCGGATATGCGCGACAGGTTTAGATAAAGGTTTGAGTGACTAATCAAAGTTTAACCTAATAAAAAATATTTATTTTAATGTTATTCTTTTTGTGTTTCATCTGCAATAACAATGTGGACTTTTATAAAGCTCCGTTTGGCCATTCACTTTTAAATGCATCATTATGCATGAATATGAGGAGAGTCTCCGCATTCGGTAGGAAATCAAATTAAATGAAATGTGGAGGATTTTAAATGTGACAAGATGATTGACAGGCCAGTTTGCTGTGACAGGATGCGACAGAGAGCAACCGTTAAAGAAGCAATGTATGACGTGATAGTAGCCTATGTCCCAAAGCTTGTACTCTTTTGCTACACACTCAAAAGTATCTACTTTTTCTTCACAAAAAGAGTACATACTTTTAAGGTGTAGTATAAGTAGACCGTGACTGGATAAAATAACTGGTCAGTCTGTAAATTTACTTAGCGACCATGCACAATAAATCTGCATATAGTTAAAGTCCCCATAGTCAATAATTTGATCCCTTTAAATTAATCGTTTATCACCAAATGTTTTTTTCCTCTGAAAAAAATGTCTTCATGCCTTAATGTTTTTAAACAGCTAATAATGTGTTGCTAATGTTGCACAAACCCTGTTCCCGTTCGCCACCTCAGAGTCAGACAGCTGCCTTCTAATAATAATCAGAAACCTTTGAACAACACAGAGCGTCAGTGGAGAAAGGCATATAGTTCATCATTACATCGTAATATTCATCATACACCTGCTATATTGCTAAATCTACCAGATTTGTCATATCAACAGAAGAATATACCGGTATAACCTGGCATCTCTTGAGACTCCCCTGCCAGTTCGATGTTAAAGGATTAGTTCACTTTAAAAAAAACTTTTGCTGATAATTTACTCACCCCCATGTCATCCAAGATGTACCATATAATGCACTTTGCTGGGCACCAAACGGTTCAAGGTCCAAAAGACAGTTTCAGTGCAAACTGCAAACTGTTCAAAGGGCTTTAAACGATTCCAGACGATGAATAATGGTCTTATCAAGCGAAACGATCGGTCATTTCAAAAATAAATAACAAAGTTTAAGTTTAATAATGTCAAATGCTGGCCTTGCTCTGTTCTGTGATGCACGTTCGTGACTCTCCTGTTCGAACTCGTTCATCAAAATGAACAAATCTTTTTTCGAGTCATTTGGTTCATTTAACGAACGAAATGAACGAATTGACTCGGAAAAAGATTCGTTCATTTTGATGAACGAGTTCGAGGAGAGGAGAGTCACACAGAACAGAGCAAGGCGAGCATTTGAGCTTATAAAACTTAAATTTTGTTATTTCTTTTTTAAATGAGCGATCGTTTCGCTTGATAAGACCCTTATTCATCGTCTGGTGTCGTTTAAAGCCATTTGAACAGTTTGCACTGAAACTGTCTTTTGGACCTTGAACCGTTTGGTGCCCAGTAAAGTGCATTATATGGAGAAAAATCCTGGAATGTTTTCATCAAAAACCTTAATTTCTTTTCGACTGAAGAAAGAAAGACATGGACATCTTGGATGACATGGGGGTGAGTAAATTATCAGCAAAAGTTTTTTTTAAAAGTGAACTAATCCTTTAATGGTAAAGCCTGCCCGCATGTTGATGTGATTGGTCACAAGGTAGTTTGTGACATCAGAAACACCAGCGATTTCAAACCGTGTTTTTGAGACTGTCTTTGGTTCACTGCAGTTTTAAGGAGAAAATACTCATCAATGGTGCTGACTTATGATTTAGCACATGGTTTGCTTAAAGCACATTAAAAACACCACATAGACATATAACCAACATTAAAAGCTTGATTTTCAACACAGGGGGACTTTAAATTTCCCCCAAATCGTAAGTTTAATATGGTCTGTTTCACACATTTCATTGGCTGCCTTGCCAGTGTAATGATATGATTTATTTTCAACATATGCAGAAGTGTCTGTCGCTAATGTGCTTTGGTCTGAGCACTGTCATGATGCATCGGCTTACATTCAATTTGGTTGCTTTTATGGCCGGTTGTCACCATGTTCCTCTGAAATGACACACCAATTGTGTGATGATGCAATTCTTTGTAATGATGATTTGTATTTTATTACTTTTTGTTTTATTTTGGTGATACTGTAACTCCCACGCTCACTCTGATGTTTGCTTGTGGAATTTCTTGCCAAAGGTAACATTCAGTATTATAGAAGAGGACACAGTAAGCTAGGCTGATTATAGGCTTTTACTTTTTGGTAATACTTTACTTGAAGGGGTGTGCATAAGACTGACATGACACGACACCTTCATAATCATGACATGATACATGTCATGAATATGAAGGAGGTTTTATGCATGTTTATGACAAATGCCATTAAGTGTCATTCGCTCAATTATGACATTTTTACAGCAAATATGACATTGTTTGAGATGTTTGAGATTGTTTGAGATGACATTGTTTGAGATGCCCCAGATCTCAGGGGCCACCATGTGCTTGGTCAAACAACACATTGGTGGTCGCCTACATAAATCACCAGGTGGGTTTGCGCTCACGTCCACTGGCGCATCAAATCCTCCTGTGATCCCAGGGGAAGCTGCTTTCACTCAGGGCAACTTACATCCTTGGGTGCCAAAATCAGGGAGCAGACATCCTGTCGAGGAAGAAGCTGAGAAGATATGGGGGTGTTCGGCAAGGCAGAAGTGGATCTGTTTGCGTCTCGAGAGACGTCACACTGTCCACTCTGGTTCTCTGGTTTTTATCGGCTTTATTTTGATAAACATGATGACACAATATAACATTGCGACTGCATGAAAAGAGATTTTACTGTTATAAAAAACAGATTTGTGACAGGTTATGATGTATTGGTTTATGTCAAGTTGTCATAACAAAGACATCTCAAACAAAGTCATATTTGCATTTAAAATGTCATAATTGAGCGAATGACACTTAATGACAGTTGTCATAAACATGCCTACAACCTCCTTCATATTCATGACATGTGTCATGTCATGATTATGAAGGTGTCATGTCAGTTTTATGCACACCCCTTCAAGTAAAGTGTTACCCCAGCAATGCAGAAGGACATCTATCACTTTATAAATAAGTAATAAGGTACGAGAGGCAAACAATACCTATAACCCCACAATACCAATATTAAAACGAAATATATATATATGGTGTAACATGCCTCATCTGATGGAGCTCAAATAAAAAGAGACTACAGGAACTGTTCTCATGCCTCAGTTTTTTTTGTTTTTTTTTTACGTTTTCTCACACATAAGTCCTATGGCAGCTTGTTTCTGACACAGAATAGAAAAAATAAAGGTAATTGTGACATTTTATATTGTCTTTTTATTATTTTTATGCAATTTATAATAATTATAATACTATTAATAACTCGTTTTTTTTTCATTCATTGTATTAATTAAAGCAACACCACCTCCAGTTCAATGTTATTAAGACTGAACTCACCGTCATCCCATCAGACAGTCCATCATTACTGTTCTGTACTTCTGCTCCAGCTTTAGTCTATTTTTCTTTACTCTTTAAATTGGGTATTTCACCGCTGCTACTATTGTTTAAAAAATGTAATTTTCACCACCACCATTTTGATCACAGAAAATGTTTATGACTTTCAGAGAAAAATGTCAAAAATGACCGAATTTTCCTGTGATGCATGTAAGTCTAGTGTTGGACGGTGTTAATAGACAAATTAAATAAACTAGGGATAGTCTGAGAAGTTTAGAAGGTGCAGTATGTAACATTGAGCTAGTGGTTGAAATGGGTACTGCAGTCCAAATTTAAAATATTGGAGAGATAGCTGTTTTCCCCGCCCTGCTCTCTCCACCACATACTCGACACGTGCACAATTGACAATGAAAGCAGAGGAGACTTAAGTTGATGTGTTGATTTATCAGCATTTTAATATGCTTCTGTTCAAAGAAATGCCAAGGCTTTCTAGCTCGGGTGGAATCTGCAATCTCTGACCCAGTTTGTTTGCTGAGTTCCATGGCTGCAATACGCCGTGTTTTCCACCAAATGGCAACCCCGGGTGTTGGAATACTATTGGGCAAATTGTATAGTGTGCGGAATCACATACACAAAATCACAATCACACAGACCAAAACAAAAACAGATATTACTGCACAGAACGTACATTTCAAAGTAGAATAACTGGCTGCAGTATTGTGTATGCGAACTTAGCAAGTTCCTAAATATCTGCAAACATATTAT